CCACCATGAACACGGCGCCACCATCCATCAGATAGTCGCGAATAAAGGTCGGCGACAGAAACATGTCGACTGACGCCTTGATCTCGTAGTAAAAGCCCGTTTCCCATTGCAGCGATTGCGCGACTGCTTTCCCCTCCTTGGACGGGAGATACACTTCGAGCTGCTGGTTGAAAGCGTGTCCGTTGATGACGCTCTTGTGCCGAGACCCACCGTGCGAGAAGTTCGAGTGCCATACAAGTAGACGAGAAGAAGGGTGTGCAGTATCTAGACTACTTTGCAGCAGCGCACCGGAGCCCTGGAGCCTGGCCCGACGCTGCGCATCGTTTCGACGAGGCTTCTTGCCTCCACTCACCATGTTCAAGAATATTAAAAGCTACATGAATCGGATTGACATAATGTGCGCCACATAAATGAAGATGTGCAACGTCGTCAATCTTTGCTCAAATTGTAGCAAGTTGCCAAGTGGTGCGGCTTGGGGAGTCCAGCAAACCCGCGGTGATTCAGCTGAAGCTGTGGATTCCACGCGGCTGGTTGGATGCATTTGAGGCACGACAAAGTCCAGGTACAGTAGAAGGAGATGGAGGCTATTGGAATATGGTAGAGAAAAGCCCGCTGGTGCCGATGGTCTCTTTGAAGAGCCTTTCGACCTTGCTCACCTCGACAAGTCCAGGTTCCCGACCGGTAGCTCCGATAACGGCTCCTGCGCTAAGCTGAGACTTGTGTTTTTTCTTCTCAACATTTATATTATTGGTCTGTCGACGAAAACAGAAACGTTTTCAGCAATTAGTTCTTAAAACGAATATCCTGTTGAAACTAACTTGGATACGTCGTTTGGACATATTGAAGACACTTCACTCGCCAATTGCACAACGGCACCCGGTTAAGCATCGCGCCCATTCGTACGCCACAGTAGTCAGCAGCCACAACCACTCTGGTCAACGAGTCCAGAGAAAGAAAGCATAGGGCTGGCCATTTCTCCATCGCTTGGCATCTGTCCTTTGCTATTACTGCGCCAGTGTCCGACGGTTTTCTCCTTCCTGCCGGCGGTTCGTTCTTGGCCGGCACTCATTCCGCGTTGTTGGGCCACAAGTCCGGAGTGCTCCCACTCTCCCGCGTGGATTTTTTCATTCGTCCTCTTGATAAATGCAGCCGTGGTCGGGCGGCCGTCGTGAACGCTCGTCCAGCGTCGTGCTGCTGGGCAAGCTGTCGGCTATCGTGCGGCGTGGCAGTGTATTCCAGGCCGAGCCCGAGGACTTGCGGTGCAGCAACAGCAGCTACAGCAGCAACAACAGCGAGGAAAAGGAGAGCGATGACGACAGAGCGACACAGCGAAAAGACCGACACGCGCGGCGCCGCAGCGTCGGTGCGCCCACGATGCAGGCGAATATGACCATGTGGGACCCCAAAACTAACGGCCGCGGCACGAGTCAACGGCTCCAGTTCTATCCGGCACGGCCACTAGTAGCGGCTGCGTTGGCAAAGCCGTTGAGTCAGGGGGAACTGATGCGAAGAGCGACGCTC